GTATTTTTTCTTTTCATCTTGCCTCTGTATAATGCATATTAAAGTTCATAAGTGCAGCACTGCTTTGTTTACAGCGAAAACCAAGGAAACGCTTTAAGCGCCACCTGCTGGCAGAGAGTGCATCTGCGTCTCAATCAGCTTGTCTGCTGTTTCATGCAGATATTTTTATGTATAGTTTCACAAAGCTAAAGTCAAACCATTCTGTTTTTGCTTCAAATTTCGAAATTATACAATCTAATTTAGATTAAAAACTGCTCATGTTGCATGTATGCAGCATCTTTGTTTGGATCGTGACTTTTCTGCAAAGATATTTAACAAGTGATTTGTTTAACATTTACATCATGTTGACAACTTCATGTGTGCTGCACTTAGAATAGAATTTTCTTTAACTAGTGGGTTAATAAAGAAAAAGTTATTTGAATCATGTTGTAGTAAAATTTTTAAGTTGACGAGTTAAAAATCTTTTTAAAAAATCGAGAATCGGTCAAACGTTCTGAAAAATAATACAATAAATTCATTACTAAATAATAAATTAAAGTTGTATTATTTTGACTGATTAGACAAGCTTTTTGATTATTAAAATATAATGAAAACATTAAAATGGAATTCAGAAATATTAAAATGAAAAGAAAAATTGGGAAAAACAATATTTTGGGGGAAACAAAGATTCATATAGGGCTTTTTTTAAATGAATTTGTTAAACTTTTAATCAATTGTTGTTACAAAGTATCAGTTTCATGATTTCAATTAATTTTACATGCTTTTAGATTACCATCTAGATCTTCATATCACTGAATTGCAAACTCATATAGAGATAACAGGTACTCACTGAAATCAATGAGCATCTTGCCGTAGCCCTGCCTCATGTACTGTGGCATAGTCAGGATACAGGACACATTGTAATTCAGGAATGAGTTCTTCTCCTGAACAAAAAGGAGAATCAGTTTAGTCAGTGTGCATATTACAATGACAACTCTTCTGTCTTGACTTAAAAGACACCATAGGCTAACATTGATCAAAATTGTTCATAAAAGTAGCATTATATTTGCATGTTCTGCTGATTCATGAGACTTTCAGTACTCAATATGGTGAAGGGCTCTTCAGTCTGGTTAGTATCCCCCACAAAACACTTAAGCCTGGTTCAGATTTTTTTTTTTTTTAAGTCACATAATTTGGCCCTTAGACTGGCACTCCATGCTAGCCGATTCCTTATTCACATATTCAGAACAGAAAACAGCAAAGATCAAAACAGATGTCTTAAATTAATTGTCATTGCTTCCCTAGTTTAAAGCAGCATTCAACTTAGTTTAGTCAAAGCTGTAACAGCTACCAACAGTTTTTGTTGAGCTCTGTAAAATTAACAAATTAAGAATGAAAGAGGGGCGACAGTCTAAAACATTTCCTTTTCATGTGATGCTCATCAAAATAACATACTGCGTGAAACAAGCCACTGAAATAAACTGAATTAGAATGGAGTTTATGGACTAACTTCACCCTGTGAGTTTGTGTGCTGTGTGTTTGTTGTCCCTTCAAGGTTGCTGTGGAAAGAATAAGTTCATCCCCCACTTTACTGAGACAGACTTTAGCAGCATGCAAACAATATTTTTTTCTATGTAAACGTGCTTGACGGACATGTTGACAGTGTATCACGTATGACACGGCAAAGTTAAAAGTTGTTCGAGTCTCATAACCTTTCATTTCTCATTTTCTTAAAACACAAAAACGCATTTTGTGTGTATAGCCGATTAGAACTAGTGATACGTTCTACGTTATGGTCCATCATAGAGTGTCACATGCGAGTAGTTAATCAGGTGCACAATCATGCAGTCGGATAATTTTTTTCTCTTAAATGTCACCATTAATGTATTGTCAATGTGTCTAACTATACTGTTTGCTATTATTTTTATTAAAAGCCATGATTCCTTGAATAAAATAATAAAAACATGGCAAAACATTACATCCGAATGAATCAAAATCTGAAAAATCGCTCAGCCCGACCCCAAGCATGAAAGCTCATTTTGTTACCAATGCAAAATAATGGAAACCAGGATAAACATTTTCAGGATAAATAACCAGTGGGCCAATATTGGAGAAGCTTATTTGTCCTGGCTCACATACTACGTAAACGAAGCTTATGACTGAAAATCAGCCAAAAATTGGCTAGAGGGAAGCTGGCCTGAAAAGCAAATGTGTTGACATAAAGTGCTTATATTTTTGTGCACTTCAGACCAGATCATAATTCACAACATGTAGCCTCAAGCACCTCATTACCTTTGAGAAATATCCCACGAGGTGACAGCCTGTGTTATCAGCTTCAGTCATGACATAAAACAGGAAAGGTTCCACGTCATAGTACAGTGTTTTATGGTCCAGAAACAGCTTGGCCAGCAAACAAAGGTTCTGGCAATAGATCTGTTGGGGTGGGGATGAATAAAATTCATGTTTATCAAACAAACTCATCAAGAGCCTAGAAGTTCATATAAGAGCGGAAATAGTCAATGCCACAAATCAACAAACACATCCAGAACTCTTTACATTCAAACAGCCACAAACAATGCATTACATTAACATCCATTGCCCACCTTGTTCTTTTTCCCATCAACCTCAAACACAGAAATGGCACCTTTTCTGTAGACTTCATCACCAGGAGGGTGTTTCCACACACATTTGGCCTGCATAGATCACATATGACAACATGTCAAATTTAACCTCCATATAGATTCAGCCAGTACTACCATTTGACTAAATGTTTAGACATGCAACCATAACGGAGATTATTTAGGAAAGTTTGATTTCATACCATGTGTCTGCGCAGGATGGTCTGACTCTTCATATACTTGAGGCAGAACTCACAGATGTACAGACGCCCCAGACGGGCGTATTCCTCAGGGTAGGGAGAATGGTACCAAGTGTCTAGCTCATAACGGCCAAACAGGATGGTCTTGATCATGTTACTGCCTTCTGTGATCTGACCCTGCAGAAGCAGTTTCTCCTACAAACAACAAAAACCTTAGAAATCAAATATCTAAATAAAGCTAATTTAGCTAAAATAACAAGTAAGAACTAGGATTGGGCGGTAAAACCAAAATCTAGTAAAGTAATTTAATCACAGTAACAGAATACCATCATATGACGAAGATAAAGGGTGAGATTTTAGTCCTGAGATTTTAGCTGAGTGATGCACTGCTATGTCAGAAGTGTGTAAACTGAGAGGCATGTCTGTTCATACCAGATCCTCTGCTGCGCGGGCCTGAGCTTTCCTGAAGAGCTCCAGATCATAATCACTGGTGATGTTCTCCAGCAGTGGTTCACGTGTGGTTCCGTGTGTCTGTCTGTGCTCCTGATACATCAAAAAAGAACAGATGTAGATCGATCACAAATACAAACATCATTAATACCACCCGACAAATAAAATATAATGGCACTGTATACATTAATTAAAAGCCAGATAATTATTTTTAACAAGAGCTAAATTGGGTTGGCTAACAAAAATACATCAGGACCATATAGCTTATATAAAAACGCATTAATCAGGGATGCTAACTCGCCAAGTATTTTTAAACACTTTTTGTAAGCCTTTATTATTTTTAACTCTACAGGCGAGCAATAAAATTCAATTTAAAGATTCACTTTTTATTCATGAAGATGACATGAAGAAATGTGTCTCCTGGTGGAAAACAGACTTTTAAGATCAAAATGACATTACAATTATATAAGTTACCATTATAACCAGTAGATGGCAGCAGAGGATCACACATTAGCACAGTTGCCATTTCCACTCCCTAGTTTTTTTTTTATGTCTTGCTTTTGGATATATTATAAGATGACTATTATAACAAATTTTAGTACTTTTACTGTACTGAAGTATAAAGTATAGCAAGTTCAATAAGCTCAGAAGGGTTAATTATTTAAATACTTAACTAGTTGACAACAAATTAAGTTAATTATTAATGGTACAATAATTAAATAATAATGCACTGAATATTTTGAAATATTTTTAGATTTAATTTAAAAACTAAATTTTTAAAAAATTTTCCTTAAAAAGGACACATCAAAAAGTGATTTAAGCTTTATCTTTAAAACTTATATCAGGAGTTTAATCAATGACTACCGTTTATGCGTTTTTTTCCTCGATATAATGGGAAGATCTGTGAGCGTGTAGAACTCTGTAAACCTGTGAAAACTTAGTTCAGACAGAGTGGATTCTGACTAACCTACAGCAAACACCTCTGACTGGCCATTGCTTTCAACAGTGATGCCTGTGATTAGCTATAATACTCTGCAACACTGCAAAAACACATTATAAATAGAATATTTTGGTTTTGTAACTCGAAACCAAAGCACGCACACAAAAACACACAGGAGCATTTGAAAGTGGTTGCCTTCGAGCGGGTACAGAATTGAGTTGGTACTACTGGCACTGTAAAAAGACTCCCCCCTCCCCATCCCCCGAAACAATTTAAAAACTCACCAGATCTACATGAATCAAAATGGCGAATTTTGCCGAAAGGTGACAAGTTTGCATCCCTGCATTAATAAACATTTTAATATATCACTGTAAGGATTACCATGTACTTCTCTTTTTGGTCTTTTGTCAGTCCAGAATCCCTCCTCTTCCTCATCTCCATTACCTTCTCTTTATATCGAACTTGTCTTGGAGTTGGTGCCTGTGGAAGAGCAACGCAAATTAATATTACATCCCACTTTACTAAAAGGTACATTGTGTCTCATCCAGATAAAGCTCTTCATGGTTAACTCATCAGTCATAACCTCACTGTGGATACCACAGAATTTATGGCTTGCAAACAATCACAACCCATCTTAAAAATAGAAGGCACCATGCTGCTGACGTTAGGCCTTCACGCAAGTGTCTTTTTAGTACAAAAGCATGCATGCATTTAAGAGGCATTAATACACTTGCGTGATGTTTGTTTAGTGTTGAGCGAACATCTGCTTGGCGAGCACCTGATGCCGAGTAGCGTGTCTGTTCTCCTCGTTCTGCCCCTGACTGCGCTCTTCCTCTTGTTTCTCACGCTCGATGGCTTTTACCTGATCAGGAAGACAAGCACACAAAGATAAACACCAGAGAAAGTGCTAAACAATACGGAAAAGAATAAACCACACATGCCCATGCTAAATAATCACTGCAATTTAGTGGTTGACAAAATGATGTTTTTAACTGTCGAAGCTCATTCCATGCAAGAAATATACAAAATCAAAATAATAGCAAATAAAGCAGACAAGCAAAGTATACTTTGGGCTTCAAGCACCTTGCACTCATCTGCTGAGAGGTTATGGTAGAGAGGGCATCCTGATATGGAGAAATGTCTCTCATGTTTCCCTGTTAAATGTCCTGTATAAAAAAGAAATACAGAAAGGTAAACAGATTTTAGCTTTAAACCAGACTATAAACAATCCATTCAAATTTAAAATGTTTTAAAAAACTGTGAACATTGTTTTTTTTCCAATTAAGCTCTTGTAAACCATAAGCACTGGATTTTATTATTAAGCAGATGCAAGAGGAAATTAATCTGAAGAGCAATTACCTAGAGAATTGCACCCAGGTGTGGGGCACTTCATATTGAAGTTGTAGCTCTCGTGAAAGCGGCGGCGTTTTGGACGATGGGAGGGATCGCTGCCAGAGTCTTTCTGGTCTTTAGTCACGCTCTCATCGTGGGATGCATTGGGGCTGGATATGTCGATGTCGGATTCGGATGAGGGGGCGTTTCCTGTGGGTGTCCTGGGGGGAGACTCATATCTCTCTGCTGCTTGTTTCACATCTGGTGGGGCATCTAGATGAGGAACAGAAATAACATCTTATAAACATGTAAAGGTGTCAAACAGAAAAGAATAAAAGCTTGGCAGCATGGATTTTAATACAACTGTAACTTTCATGAATAATAGAACAAAAATACATCACAGTAATGTGTTATGTTTTATGTATATGTATATGTATATCTATATCTATATATATATGTGTGTGTGTGTGTAAATATGTATATCATTTATTTTTTAACAGGATTCATTCATGTTTATAGCCTGCAACTTTGTGAATAAACTAATGGGAAAAAAATATAATTTGTTTTCCAATTAGACAATTTCTTGCTGATTTCGAAGCATCGTCCTTTTTTTTGAGAAGTTGATATATTTATTTATTTTTGTCTGCAATTTATATTGTGATCTGTGTGTATATATATATATATATATATATATATATATTTATACACACGCATATTTATTTACTTTTGAAAAATGTACAGGACACATTCATGTTTATTATTACAGCCTCCAATTGTGAATGGAAACAGGAAATAGCATTAGGATTTATTTTCTGATTTATTAAAGAATCAAAACATTTGTAAAGGTGCGGAGGTGAAATTTTGCAGGCACACATGTCTATTCTCTTTAACCATATAGTAAACAATATGTTTCTTTTACATGTATAACACATACGTTTATCCAAAGAGTATCAAAGTCAACACTTTCTGAAGCGTTTTGGACAACTGGCGCTTTGAAGAAAATCATCAAGCCCAAAATCTACCTACTGACCAGCTGTATGAGGTGCTAATATATCAGCTGTGCGTTTCTACCTTGAGAGCTCTGGCTCAGGCGCAGTGATGAACGGGTCAGACGAGTGTTATTGCGCTGATTGGCTTCACTATGGGAGCTGTCGGTCTTCTCATGATCTCCAGAGTCATCAGAATCAGCAGTCCCGTCTGAACTACTGCCTGCTGTTCTCTGCAAACGGGGATGTAAACAGCTAAGTTATACCACCATGCACAGGTAAACGAGTCAGACTAAATATAATAATTAAAGATGCCGACAACATAAATAGTCAAAAACATACAGAGCATAAAAAGCAAACAGGAATAGTTCACTTATACAGTCTGAAATGTGTTTTTTTATACATCCCCACCTAAAGCCAAACCGCTAATTAGCTTCACTATCAGCTGAAAACACACAATTTCGGAGCCACTTCGGTGGTTTTCGATACTATGTTAGCTGCTAATACTGTTGATAAATAGTCTTAATATTTTCATTGAAACTATATTTGTCCAAAAATGTAAATAAACACTGAGTTAGCAGTTAGCGCGCGCTGAGGCGACTGACCCAATTCTCGCATTTTCTCTCACCTTTCTCCGCGGCATGTTCTCCTCGATGAATCCAACCGCTGTTCTTTTCACAAATTTGTCAAAAGGAAATGTCTGTTTTCTGCTGTCTGATATAATACAGCAGCTGTGTGTTCAGAAGTTTGTGTGTTTCTGTTCTCAGTTCTCTCTCGCGACTCGCGCCACAGCGGAAGTGACGTGAGGACGAAAAACATGGCAGGGAGCAGCGAGAACAGACGTTTTAGAAATAATTTTGGACTTCTTCTTCTTCTTCTTTTGGTTTTATGGCGGGGTGCGAACCAACTTCATAGGTGCATACCGCCCCCTACTGTGATGGAGTGTGAAGAGAATGATGTACACTTCCACAACTCTTACCCTGCGTATGCAACTCTTTTTGACGTCATTTTACCTTCATAGGATTACTCATTTCTCCCATTGCTGCGAATGTAAACATAACCTTGTACTCATCCTCCGTCCGCATTGTTTTACTCCTTCCTCCTTCTCCCCCGATTTCTTCCGAATCTGAGCCTCTGTCTTTCCGTTTCTGAGATGTCAGCTCTACCTGATTCCACTCTCCACAATTCAAATCTGCAAAATCATCTTCTTCTTCTATGCTACTTCCGTCATTCTCTTCATTCACACCACAGTCGTCGCCAAACCCGCCACGGCGTCTTTTTTTGGACTTGTTCTGAGCAATACTCGTACAAATACAAACGACGACTTTCTGGTTAATAACATCCTTATTTGTGGATTTTATATAACATTACACAAATATAAGTATTTCAGAGTGAGACCTACGTTTTGTGCATTTCACAATGAGTTTATTTCGTATACTACAAAAACCCTTAAGATGATGTGAAATATAAATGCATTTAAACTTTTTTTTTGTGCCATAACAGAGTAATATAATTTTTTAAGTCATTTTTTTCTTTTATGCAGCTGATCCTACTGTTCGAATACAAATGTTATTGCCAAGTTGTGTGTACAAAAACGTTTTGAATAGATGTTATGCGGAAATGTGTTTTTAATATTTCAAACGCAATGTTTTATGCGATTAATTTATTATACTAACTCGATATTATTTGCACAAGTTAAAATGGCTGATAATTTTTGTCAAATAGGCCTAATGTATTTTTGAAAGATTATTTCTCATGTTTACATGAATGTCCTCTTCTGTTCTCATAAAAACCAGTAGCATACTTTATTTTAATGTTTAAACATTATTACAGTGATGCAACTTTGAATGTGCATTTGAATTTGGTTGTACATTGAAACATATTGACATAACGTACACAAACTCTACAGATGGCGCTGCAGGCACATTAAATATTTGCAATGAGGCAATATTTATTAAAGTGAAAAGTGAAAAAGTGAAAGTGACATGACATGTGGCCAAGTATGGTGACCCATACTTGGAATTAGTGCTCTGCATTTAACCCATCCTAAGTGCACACACACAGCAGTGAACACACACACACCGTGAACACACACCCGGAGCAGTGGGCAGCCATTTTTTTGCTGCGGCGCCCGGGGAGCAGTTGGGGGTTCGGTGCCTTGCTCAAGGGTACCTCAGTCGTGGTATTGAAGGTGGGAGAGAGCGCTGTACATTCACTCCCCCCACCTACAATCCCTGCCGGTACGAGACTTGAACCCACAACCTTTTGGGTTATGAGTCCGACTCTCTAACCATTAGGCCACGACTTCCCACAGTGACATGAAACTGGTTTCAGTAACATCAGCTCTATGAGAAACACCACAACCCCTCGAGATTACATAACCTCCGTGTGTGTACAGTTTACAGTACTGACATGTATTTTGACTCTTTTTTTTTTTTTTTTAAGCTCAAGTAAACATTTTGTTGAGGTTTGCATCTGTTTCTCTAGCAGATTCTCACACCTCCTCCTCAGGCAGGAGTCTGTGAAAGGGAATATCATGGTCCGGGTGAGGGTAGAAAATACTGTGATTTTCCTGAATGTTCTACCACCAGCTTTAAATGGGAAAAGCAGGGAATGAAGTGATATGTTCCTCTCCAGCAGCTGATACCATCCATCCTAAAAATAGAGCCAATCACTCAAGCAGCCACACAGATATACACTGAGCTCTCTCCAGTCAGTTCTGTCTTCTCTGAAAGTAAAGAAATTCAAAACATTTACACAGGAAACTCCGAGAACAACTCTACGAGAAGTCAAAATGCCAAAGATTGTGAGACCAGAGAATTGGTATATGGTGTGAACATGAGGGCTTATTTGAAATGGTGGAAGCCGCATGCTGATGTCTTCGAAGGGTAGGCCTACATGTCATTTTTGCAATGAGCTCAGAACTTAGACTAAAATATATGGTTTCTTTATGTTAGCTCAGACAGTGATGCAACAGTTTGTAACTTAATGAGAAATGCTTTGTCTAAACTGGTTCTTTCATTTCTTTAATCAACCAACCAGAACACTGGTACGACCGGAAAAAGTATGTGACTATCAGCTTTGTGGTTCAAAACCCAAAAGATGTTTAAGTAGATATCCAGGACACAAAAATTATTTTAAGGTAAGAAAATCATATAATTTGAAATATTTTATCATATCATATCATATCATCATATATATATATGTGTGTGTGTGTGTATGTGTGTGTGTGTGTGTGTGTGTGTGTGTGTTTCTCAGTAATATCCCATATAGGAAGTCAGTTTCAAATTAACCTTATCGAATGCAAAGCAAATTTGTGCACGTGTCAGGAGAGTCAGTGTCTTAAATTGTGATCAGATTTGCTCAATATGAACTCAAAAATTTCTCATCAAAGGAATTTTGGAACATCTGAGACAAAGCTTGAATAAAAATTGAGAGCCTCATTAAGATCTTTCAGATAAAAAAATAAGGTGATTTTTTGGGGAGCCAAAACTATCAGCTAAATAATGTATTTAGATACGAGAAATTTATAAAAAAAAAGGTATAAATAATAATATTTACCTATTTTTCAGCTGTAAAGATGCAGATGACAACAATATCTACAATGAGATTGAATTTTATGACCGAGTATATAAATCTGTAAGTATTTTACCATTCATTTTGTGATTTGAACCCTGAAGCTTGTATACATATGTAATCTAGATGACATATTACATAGACTTTTAAACATATTACTGTGTCTTATTGGAGGAAACCAACAGAAGAAACATTAAAGTCTTATTTTGTTGTAATGATACATCATGGTTCATGAAATCATGTGTAAATGAAGCTAAATGTCCAGACATTTCATCAATGTCACAAAGTTTTCCGTGGCTTTCTCAAACAACTTTGTGAATAATGCTCTTTTAGGATTCAAGGGAGAAAGTCTTTGACCGAACAATTAATGTCTTGATAAGGAAAGTAAAGGAAAATGTGGCATGGCCTCGACTCAAGAAAGATCCCGCAAAGGTATCTATCTATCTATCTGTCTGTCTGTCTGTCTGTCTGTCCGTCCGTCCGTCCATGTCATTCCTCTGATCATTGATTCCTTGTCCTTTTAGCCAGCATGGCTCTTAGTAGACTTTGATAACTGGAGACTGGGAACATGAGGAGGAAGATGGCATGGCAGAATATGAGCAGTATGGATGTAAGTCTCTTCATCAGTGGGTGATGCAACACCTGTTATCAATTCATGCACTGACACAGGACGTTGTGACATGCTGAGATCATGATAAATTTACATTTTTTTCTGTAAAATGTAATGACTCTTTTGAAATGCAGATGCTTAATGAAATGAAGAACAATGGAGAGCCTCCTGCAATGGATGACCTGGACGATCTTGTAAGTATCTGAAACAGTATCACATGGTTATGCAGCCTTTAGTCATTTCTTTTCTGTTTTGAGGTCATCGCATAAAACCTTTTCTTCTTTATAGAGTGACTGACAGAGCACCACTGCCCAAGATGAGCCTTTACAGTTTTCTAAAATGTTATATGTGACCAAAAGTTTTGGCAGTGACATAAATTGTGTGTTTTGCAAAGTTGATTGTAAGAGCAGACTCATTGCTATAAAAGGAGGGAAGAAGTGCTTCCAATTGTTAGCAATGGTTACCTCCAAAGAAACACGTGCAGCCATCATCGCTTTGCATCAAAATGGCCTCACATGCAAGGAAATTGCTACAAAGAATATTGCACCTGAAAGAACCATTTACCGGATCATCAAGAACTTCAAGGAGAGAGGTTCGACTGCAGTGAAGAAGTCTTCAGGACGTCCCAGAGTGTCCAGCAAGCGCCAGGACCGTCTCCTCCTTAGGAGTCAGCTGCGGAATCGTATCACCACCAGTGCAGAGCTTGCTCAGGAATGGCAGCAGGTTGGTGACAAAGCAAGAGTGATAAAGAAGTGGCTCCAAGATCATTACATTGAAATTTTGAATCCGTGGCGAGGAAACTCCCCGGATCTCAATCCCATAGAGAACCTGTGGTCAGTCTTCAAAAGGTGAGTGGACAAGCAGAAGCCCACAAATTGTGATCAACTCCGAGAACTAATAAGACAAGAATGGATCGCCATCAGTCAGGATTTGGCCCAGAAGCTAATATCCAGCATGCCAGAGCGAATTTTAGAGGTTATGAAGAACAAGGGTCAACACTGCAAATATTGACCCAGTATATATATTTTTTTGCCAATAAAAGCCTTTAAAACTTATGATATGCTTATCATTGTTTTTCAGTACAAAAAACTGCCAAAACTTTTGGCCATGACTGTAGTAACTGGACTTGTAAGTCACATTCAAAAATAGTTTTAAATACAAAATTATAAATTTGTATATTTATCAAATTGTTTTCATTATCTTGTAAAAAAATGTGAAAAGGAATAGTTCACAACCAAAATGATTTTTTTTTTTAGAAAATGTACTAATTTACTCAGTACATCAATTAATGTCTTGTGAAGTGAAAAGCTGCCTGTTTCTAAGAAACAAATCAATCATGAAGGCATTTTGCAGTAAATTTAAGCCATCGCTTCTGGCTAAAAGACCAATCCATAAAACCTCTAGTGAAAAAGTCCATCCACTGTTGTTCTCCCACATCAACATATTTGTTTAGAACTGTTTTGGACTTTTTTGCTTGTAAACAGTGCTTGATCTGTGCATATTTCTCTCCTGATTCAGATTAGACAACTTTTTTACTGGAGAAAGCAGTATTATGGATAAAAGACTTGTATTTTAGCCGGAAGTGACGGTTTAAAGTTAAAATGTCTTATGATGAATTTATTTTATCAGCTGTTTGGACTCT